ATCTAGTTCTATTGTCACCATTATTACCTAACAGCTCTGTGATGTCTGGGCAGGACCATTTTGTGGGCATGGATTTTGGGGTGTCATGTTCATTCCTGCATTCCCAGCCTTAGCCTCCAAGTCCTTCTAGTTTGTCCTTGTCTCTCCCACAGCCAATCCTGGCAGTGCTGTATGCTGAGATCAGCATCCCAGACCTGCTCCGTATAGCTGACTGGCTTGCTGCTCCTCGAAGTACAAGTGGATTGGGCAAGGCGGCTTCCTGTGTGTCATGACCCGAGGTCCCTAATCCTTTGAGATTGTGCACTTGCTCTAATGTCATGTTCTTGAAAGCCACCTCTGGTGTTTCTGGGGTAGGAAGTCCTTGGACTTCACTTTGAACATGATTAGTCTTGCTGGATGTGGTAGTGGATGACTGCAATACTACTGCTCAAGGAGCCGAGACAGGAGGATCACAAGTCAGAATCCATCTTGACTTATATAGCAAGACTATGTAAAAAAAAAAAAAAAGGTGAGGAAGAGGAGGAGAAGAAGGAAGATGAAGAAAGAAGGAGGAAAGAGGGACAGGACTAAAGTCCAAGAATGGAGTCTGGCTCTACTGTCCTTGGGTTTGGGGACATGTGTTTGGCAGTTCTGTGGCAAGGAAGAGCACTTCAGGGGTGTGAACCCTAGTTCTGTACTGTACCCTTGGTCTCTGGAGCACATGGAGTTGCAGAGGGAGCCTCATTCTCTGGGGAGGGGTGAACCAGTGCATTGTATTTCCACGTGTCTCACAGCCTTGTGTGTGTGGACAGTCAGCCTTCTATATCTGAGGGTCCTGTATCCTTTGATCAAGATTTTAAACCCATCTATTTCGACCATTTCATCACTTTTCCTAAACAGTCTAGTATAATGGCTCCTTATACAACATTTATATTGTATTAGGGATTACAAGTAATCTAGATATGATTTGAAGTATACAGGAAGAGGACTGGCGAGATGGCTCAGCAGGTAAAGGGACTTGCTCTATAACCCTGAGAACCTGAGTTCCATCCCCAAACCTAACCAAGGAAGGGGAGGACTGACTCTCAAAAAGTGATCTCTGACAGTCATACTTATTCTGTGATGTGCATGCCTGCCTGTATTCACACATATTACATCTATACAGCAATAATAAAAATAAATAAAATAAAGCTCATAACACTTCTCTGCTCTGAGGTTCAGTAAGAGACCTTGTCTCAAAAGCAAGAGGGACAATACAGCTCCCAGGAAACAATACCTGAGGTTGACCTCTAGCTCGAGTGTGTATACACAGACATAGACACACACATACACACACACACACACACACACACACACACACACACACACACACGTTGTTAGTCACTAACTCTATAGACTTCAAACCTGGACTGTCTCTTGAAACCAGCAATTTCCACCGCCCTTACTATCACCATGACACCCTCACACTGCCTGCTTGTTGTAGGCATCTCTGCAGCCAATAAGGACTTTTAACTGCCTGCAGCTCATCTGTGGCTCCTTAACTTCCCATTATCTCTGAGCAAATCCCAGGTCTTTGACGCAGTTTGATCAGGCCTTGCCTGATACACCTCCCTGACCCTCTCCCTGCTTCCCGATTCCCTTTGGCCTCTCTCACCAGCCTCCTGGTCATCATTTATGCTCTAGGCAGACTGAATGTCCCTTAGCTGAGGGCTGTGACCTCTCATTCCAAAGATATGTGGCTGGGAGAATTTGCTTCTTTTCTAACATTAAGGGGTTGGCTTTTCTTGTCACTTCCTTTACGTGTCCCTATCCTGTGTGCTCCTAGGCAGGGGCAAAATCAATACAAGAGGTGGCCACAGTCTTTTTCTCTACTAACCATCAAAGAGAACCCTGAAATCCTTACCCTTCGCCCCTAGGAAGAAGGCAAGAGTTTGATTTAATCCACATGAGGAAGCCCTGGGATAGCTGGGGGTGGCAGAAAGGAGGTTTTCTAACTTTTGGCTTGGAGTGTGAATTTAGATCCTCCTTGGTGTTGTTCCAGATGTGGAGAAAAAAGGAGAAAGAGAGATGTGGAGAAAAAAGGAGAGATAGATATATGGGTAGATAGATAGATAGATAGATAGATAGATAGATAGATAGATAGATCTTACTTGAAGTTTTCTTCTTGGCTGTGCCAGAATGCTAAGACTGAATTTGGTGGGCTTAGGAGTCCCACGAATCTTGTACCTTGTCATTGGTTCATCAGAGCCTGATCATACCATCTTGGCTGTAACCAGTGTTTACTTGTCTCTTTCCCCACAGGAACACGAGTACAGAGCGCAGGACCAGGCATGTAGTAAACCCTCTAATGATTGACTAATAAATGGAACAGAAATTGTACAATAAAACAGAAACACAACAAACAAAATAAAAGCCCAAGTCACGGAACAGTTAGCAAATGAGTCTGTAGTCTTGTGGCAAAGGTGCTGTGGAAGCAGATGCTAACTATATTAGCTTAGCTCCAAAACTCACATCCTTAGTAACTGACCAGGTACTGACAAACTTCTGGTGGCAAAGGTCTTAATCTACTCTATCTTAAATACTTCTGGGGTGGGGGATGAGATTACAGGGAACTAGAAGAAGCATGTAAACTCCAGGCCCTGCCTTCTGGTCCACACTGGTGCAGCCTGGCCACTGTTGCAAAATTATACTGAGGAAGCCCCTAGTAAATTAAATGTCAGTGCCATTCTAGACACACATCAGCGAACAAAACAGCCAAATGCTGCAAAGAGCTTACATCTTATCTTTAGAAACAATAAAAAAATGTAAATGACTTACGGTGTTAGAAGACTATCAAATCTATGTAAAAAACAAAACAAAACAAAATAAAAAAAACCAAACACAAACAAGCAAACAACAGCAGCCAAGAAGAGAGGAACCTCAGGGAAATAAGATAAAAATAGGATTTTTCTTCTTGTTTGGTAGAGAATCTTGCTGCATATCCTAGACTGACCTTGAATTCACTATGTAACCCAGATTGGCCTTGAACACAAAGTGATCCTGTTGCTCCAGGCTCTCAGATGCTGGAATTATAGGTGTGTGACACTATGGTTTAAGATGGGAATTCTTATCTTAGAGTTCCAGATCCACAAGAGTTGTCTCAGAGATAGTAATCAGGGGTCCTGTGAATTTGAATAGACAGGGGGCAGGGGCATTTTTATTTTCATTGATCTTAAAACCGCAAGCCTGAGTGTAGCAGTTTACTAGTATACTAATAGCAGCAATTGTGACATTGTTACCAAAAATCACAGATATTTTCTATCTTTTTGGCAGCTGTTATAGACATCTTGAACTATTATTTCTATTCATTGCTATTTTGTAGCCATTGGGCTTTCTGATTAGAACTTGTTCTTTAGTATATATCAATGGATACTTAGTAACTATGTGTCAATATACTTAGTTTCTTTTGCAACCCATGCCTTTTATTTACCTCATATATAAGCATCTCCTGGAAGTCTGCAATCTGAGCACTCAGGAGGTGGAGGCAGGAAGATTAGGAACTCAAGGTTATCTATCCTAAACTACACAGAGTTAAAGACTAGCTCCTATCTGAGACCCTTTCTCTCAAAACAAAACAAGGATTACAAGCAGTAGGAAAAGAAAAATGGCTTCAAGTAGAGGGTAGAAGGGGTGACAAACAGGTTGTAATGTTAAGAGGGGTGGGCAGGGAAGGCGCTACTGTAATGCCCCATGGGCATAAGTTTCTAGTGCATTCTCTCCCTGGCCATCCTCAAGCCAATGCCTGGCTCTTTCTAATGCTCAGAGTCAGGTGTGCAGTGCTGACATCCTGTTGTTTACCAGCCTATTTCATCCTGAAAACCTACTGCTCTCCAGTCTCAAAGTACTTAACATTCAAAGGCTTGTTTTTGCTTTGTTGAGACAAGATCTCATTATATAGTCTAGGTTGGCTTGGAATTCTCTACATAGCATAGACTGGCTTCAAATTTTTTTTTGGGGGGTCGAGGTGGAGGCAATACTAGTTATTGAACTTGGGACATCATTTGAGGCACTCTACCTCTGAGTCACTGCCCCCTGCCTCCGGTCCTAGCTTCAGTCTTGATCTGTCTTCTCTGCCTCATAAGTTCTGGGATTACAGGTGTATACCACCACATGTAGTCAACTTTGGGAATCAATGGAATACCGTCAGAAGGTCTAATAAAGTGTGTGTGTGTGTGTGTGTGTGTGTGTGTGTGTGTGTGTGTGTGTGTGTGTGTGTGTGTTGGGGAGAGAGATGGAGAGAGATGGAGAGAGATGGAGAGAGAGAGAAAGAGAGAGAGAGAGAGAGAGAGAGAGGGAACTATTTTATAGGACTCAAGTCAAGCGCCATTTTTGTTGTTCTGTTTTCTATTTAAGCATCCTACTCAAGGAGATAAAATAAACTAACTCAAATCAGCCAGCAGTGTCTGTCTCCTAAAGAAAAGATAAGCAAATTGGCAACTCTGACTGCTGATTAAGTACCACCCAGGGCAAATGGAATGTGAATGGAAGATATTGCCATATTGCAAATTATTTTAAAATTCCAATTCATCTCACACACACAGTGAAAATCCTCAGGATTCTGTGACAAAGGATCCTTTGTTTCTTAAAAAAAAATTTTTTTTTACACTTTGAAGCTGTAGAAATATTTTTAAAGAGCTGCATGTCAACTGTGATAAAAATACTATCAAGAAATGACAAAAATTGATTTCTTAAATAAATTAAGATGTTATTAGCTGGAGGATGGCTCCTCTTGTGATATCTATGTTCATGGAGAGGTTTCTTCTGTCAGTCAGATCAGAGGTCAGGGCTTCCAAGGTTGGTCCCCCTCCCCACTCCCACCTCTCTGACTCCTCAAGCTTCCAGCAGCAACTTAAGTATCCCATGCTACTGTGACAGGCTGAAGGAGTGGTGTGTGTGTGTGTGTGTGTGTGTGTGTGTGTGTGTGTGTGTGTGTGTGTGGTCACTTCCTATGGAATATTCTTATAAAAAATAAACCATTTTCCCAGTAGCCCCAAATTTCACCTTTTACCTCCTTGGCTAGAACAGGCTACCACACAGTTGCCACTGGAATGTGGTTGCTTTTCCACAAATTGACTTAAAACTATCACTCCTGGGGCAGGCACATTGCTGTTAAAATAAAACCCAAGTTGTGTACCTCGTGGGTCTGCTCCATAGAGTGAAACTCCAGGAATTGAAGCAAAAAGAATCCTGAAATTTTAAGCTGTGGAAATATATGAACCTTAACTAAACTAAAAATAAGTGACCCCCAGACTAAATTCTTCCTTACATTTGATCACTTACATTTTGTATTCCCAGGTTACACTTTAAAGATTACTCAGAAACATCTTTCTTCACCAATCAGTGTTCCTGTTAAGCTCTTCCTCTGTATCTGACACTACAGTGTTTCACTTGCTGGAAATGCCTGTGTGCTCTGCTAATTTCTACTGATGATGCAGTCATCATTATCCTATTCTACAGATGAGGAAACTGAGGCTTAGATCAATTCCATAACATCATCCAGTTGAGAATGACAGAATTGAGACATTCATTTACCATGTTCCATTCTTGTTCAGTTGTTTCCAGAGAGGGGAACAATAAAACATTAAAAAAGAAATGGAACAAAGAATTTTAATCCTGTGTGGAGTGGTAGAGCGAAAATGGACCCGGTGTGTGCTTTGAGGAGACCAAAGGATAAGTAACGTCTGGTATTCAGGTGGGGGTGTCAGGCAGGACTTCCTGAAAGAACTTTTAGCTGGGTCTGAAAGGATGGAGAAGAAAGATAGGAGAGTGGGTACAGGGACTAAAGGGTGAGGCCACTGCTCAGGATGCAGGTGGGGCAGGAGTGGGGGGTGAGATCGGAAGGTTGGTTTGGGGCAGATGACAAGGAGAGTCTACTGTTTGGTCAAAGTGATTAAGGTTTACTGTGTAGGCAAGGCAGTGGTGACTCAACGACTCTGAGCAACGGTGTGGCTGCAGGAAGACAATTTTATCAACAAGTTACATGCATTCACGAAAAAAGACTGGAGTCAGGGTGTCTGGTGAAGTGGGGCTGACTGGACACTGGCAGCCTAGGGAGAGAGGAATGTGGACTGGGGGAGGGGCTGTAAGAGGAGAAACAGGGAGCATTACTTGGGATGGCCGAAGGAACACAGGAGGATGGCGTTTCTCCAAGAAGAGCAGATGAGTTCCATTTGGTAGCAGTTTCTAGAAGGCTGTTGGGAATGTGGGACCAGATCTGGGAACACCCCATCAATGCCGAGATCAGCCTAAAAGGCATAGACAAAAGCTTGTCAAGAGAGGGCAAACAGAGCAGGGAGAGCTAAGCTAGATGTAGGCCGAGGAGACAAAGTGGTCCCTTGCCTCCCCTCAGACCAAGTGGTTACAGAAGATCACCATTTAAATCTATCCCAGAGGGAATAAATGCTAATCTAGGTACCGCCCCTAGATCCCTGAGTCAGTGGATTAGGTGCTTGGTGTGTGTCTCCAGCCATCTCCTGCGGGGTGTTGATGCAGGTGGCTCAAGCAAGGACCACACCTTTAGAAACACAGCCACATAACCTCTCTGTGTGACCCCCACCCCTTGGATTAGCATCATATTATACACATATGACTCAAAACAGCCCATCTCCGTTGAAATCTCTTGGCTGAGCTCCAGGCTCTAACACCCACCTGCAGCTGAGCAGCCCTGTCTGGATGTCTCAGAAACCTTGAACTCAGCGTGTTCAGAATCCAATACATTTTCTACCCACACCTGGTGCACATCAGATAAAGTACAGGTTCCTCGGTTTGGCATGGTCCCCCCAGTGTCCCCCCTCAACCACAGCCTCTGGCAGTGATCATTCTGTACAGATCCAAGATGCACAGACTTTTCTATACTGCTGTCCTTTGCCAGAAGCCCCAGGCTGGTCATAGATGTGCCATCACCCCGGTCCCCAAACACACTCCTTACCATTCGTCCCCCTGTGCTTCCTTTAGACCACGGGTATCCAAGTCATGACAGCGCTCCTCGTATTGTATCGTGTTCTTTCGCTGATGGTTTTTCTTTGAACTTCAGCCCCTCAAAAGCCAGGGCCGTGGCTTTTATACTCCCAGCTCTTGCTATAGAATTTAGCACAAAATAAGCAGCCGCAGGACAGCAGATGAATTGAATTTTTCAAGAGGAAAGAGGAGTTGGGAGAGGGAAGGGGGGAGCAAGAAAGGAAGGAGAAAATGACCAGGAAAGCTGAAGGAAAATTGGAAACAGTTTGCATAGAGAGGGGAGCGACTGAAGAGGAGTGACAGACAGTGACTGATGCTTGCCTAAGAGACCCAGCGCTGGAGGAGCTGAGGAAAGACGCTGGGATTGACATCTAAGAGGTAGCTAACAACTTTAGATCAGTGTCAGTCCAATAGTCCTCTGCCATGAGGGTCAACCCCTCCAGGGCCTGCCTGGTAGGGCAGGCTCATGCCAGCAGGGGGAACTTTACAATATAAACTCGATACACATTGACGCTCAGGCCCTCTGACTCATCCCTGAGTCAGGTTTGGCTTGATTTAACAGGACCTGCTGGCCTTGTCAACCACTTGCCTTAGCCCCCTCCTCTTGCTATGTCCTTCCAGACTTGTCTGTGCCCTCTGTCTGCCTAGTTTACTCAAGTTCAGCCTGAGCTACATGTAGGCCAGGAGATCCTGCCTGCCTACCCATTATCGCAGGAGGTCCTCTGCAGGGCCTGATTGCCTCTCGGAACTACTTCTCAGGGACAAATCAACCCACTCTGCTGTTCCTGCCATCCCCAGCAAAACTGCCCTGCCTTCCCCGAATTTTCATGGCAGCGTCCCTCTCACGAAGTGGTGGATTCCATTTTGCAGTATTGTTAACTCCTTTCAGCTGAGTGCTCCTGGGCATCACCTGGCCTTACCCCCCCCCCCACCACCAAGGTGTCTGATTGTTTTTCTTCAGAAGCAGAAAAATGAATGATGTTTTCCTGTCATCCTGGCCTTGTCCATGCAAGTCCTCTAAGGCTGCATGCGTGTCTGTTTAACAGTCATGTCCGCTTTGCCCTGCCGAGTCTCTTGTCTGGTCTACCCTTTGCCCTTAAAGCTATAGCTGCTATCATTCTTCATTTGAATGCACTATCTACTCTTTCAAAATCCCCTGTGGGTGTGATATTTGTCAGGGAACTGTCATTATTAAATATCACTCTCTGACAAAGAGATCACTGAAACCAAGCTAAAGTTAAAAGTGGAAATACAAATGGATTTCTTAAGAATAGCTAAGAAAAAAAACCTAATAAGACAATAGTAAAAAAGAAACCCCAAATTGGCTATATTATAGTTTGTTAGAATCAAAAGAGAAAAGAGGAGTAGGCGAAATAAAGAATGTGTGAAAAAATAGAAAGGAAAAGAGACAGGCGCGATTCGAGAAAGAAGACAGAGGAAAGTAAGACCGGGAGATCTGATCCATGAGTCTCTGTGTGAGTGTGGCCCGTATGTATGCATAGAGGCCAGAGGACAACCTCTGGAGTCATTCTTCAGAAGTTTCTACCTTACCTTAATTCTTTCTTCTTTCTTTCTTTCTTTCTTTCTTTCTTTCTTTCTTTTGTTCCTCCCTCCCTTCTTTCCATCATTGTTTGCTTGCTTTCTGAGATGGTTCTCTTAGGGAATGGAACTCACAAAGTAGACAAGTTTGTTGGCCTGTGAGCCCCAGGGATCCGCCTGACTGGATTACAAATGAGTGTTACCACAACCAACTCCTCTTTATTTGTGGGTCCTAGGGATCTAACTCAGGTCCTCATGCTTGCAAGGCAAGCACTTTACCAAAGAAGCTATCTCCCTTGCTCTCAGAGGTGATTTTGGGAGTGAGAACTTGAGGGCGTGACCTGCTTCCTCTAGGTATGTTTTTAATAATCGGACCACAGACTCAGATTCGGAAATAAGAAGCTGTCAGGAAAACAGGAATCATAACACCAAGTCAAACTTCCATAGACACCCGGCTCCAAACACTTTGGGTGGGAGTAACAAGACTCACACCCCTAAAATATGTACCCTAAAACCCACTATCCCTATCTGGTGGCCTTGAAGATACTTCGATGTATGCTTTCACAACTGTAGGCACAAATACAGAAAGAGACCCCTTGTTAGCTGTCATGTAAACAAAAGGACACTGAAACGGGGCCCATGCTGGTTCACATTTACTGTCTCCTGAGTGAGCTGGGGCTTGTTCCAATTTGTAGAGAGGTGAATTAAGAAGCGGTAGCTGGGGGCTGGAGAAATAGCTCTGTGCTTAAGAACATTGGCTGCTCTTGCAGAGGAACCAGGTTCAGTTCCCAGCTTCCACATGGTGGCTCACAGTCATCGGTAACTCCAGTCCCAGGCTCCTAACCCTGCCTTAGTTAGGGCTACTATTGCTGTTATGAAACATCATGACCAAAGGCAACTTGGGGAGGAAAGAGTATATTTCACTCAGTTCCATACAACAGGTCATCAAAAGCAGAGAACTCAAGCAGGGCAGAAACCTGGAGGCAGAGCTGATGCAGAGGCCATGGAGGGGTGCCGCTCACTGACTTGCTCCCCATCGCTTGCTCAGCCTGCTTTCTTATAGAACCCAAGACCACTGCCTCAGGGTGCCACTACCCACAATGAGCTGGGCCCTGCCCTGCAATCACTAGTTAAAAAAATGTCCTACAGGATAGCTTACAGCCTGATCTTATGGAGACATTTTCTAAATTGTGGTTCCCTCCCCTCCGATGACTCTTTCTTCTGACATCCTCAGGCATCAGACATGGATGACATATACACACATACACAAAAGGAAAGTGCTCATACACATAAAACAAAATCAATACTTCTTTTTTAAAAGACGTATTTGGCACAAATGATTGCAGACTCCTTGCTGGTTTCCTTCCATCATCATCATCATCATCATCATTATTATTTTCTCTTCCAAACATTTTGAAGTTGTTTTGCATTTTGGCCACCCGGAGTTCTATGAAGTATAACACTTATTAAATGAGTTAATAGTTACAAACTTCCCAGAACACAGAGACCAAGGTGTTTATGGAGTGAATCCCTACATGTCTTTCTGTCCTCTCACGGGTGCTCCCATTGCAACTCATCCTGCAGGTACAGAGGCTCTTTTCTCTGTGGAGTTCATGTCCTTCTGCCTGGCTGTCCACTGTCTCTCTGACCTCTGATCTACAGGCAGTTCTTTGCCCTCTTCCCACTGATTAGACCCTGGCACTCTTCAGCCATCATCTCAGGCCATCCCTCCTGCCCTCATGCCTTCCCACAGTGGCACTTCACAGTTAGCTAATGCTTGGCGCCTACTTGACTGCAGTCACTACAGGGAAAGGAGATAATTAGCTCTCCTCAGCCCAGCAGTTTGTAGAAGAAAAAATGAAGTTCATTTCAATAACAGTTTTTCTTCTTCTCCTATTTGATACCAAAGAATGCTAGTTCAACTGAATTTTTCAGCTGAAATTTTGCATCTATAGAGACAGCTATGGTCACAGTGGCCTAAAAAGGAGGTGGGTATCTTACCTGTATGGCTCCCTCATGTTCCTTTTCCATGAGGGTTTCTTTGCCCACTGTGTCTGCTTTCCCCTGGGAAGGAACAGCAAGATGTTTTCACCCAATACAAGTCACTTTCACTTTAGTGTGTGTGTGTGTGTGTGTGTGTGTGTGTGTGTGTGTGTGTGTTTGGGAGATGTTCCAGAGAATAAGACTACCCAGATTATCTGCTGCTCACCAGCTTCTCAGATAGAGTTAGAGACCATTACTAATCAAGAACAAGTGCTGAGCTAAGGGTTATCCAAGCAAACATGCTGCAGAGCTGGCCCCAAGGAGCTGCCAGTGCAGGTGTGGGGCAGGGTATTCACACAAAAAAGGAGAGCCAGCCCAAGGAAAGGAGAGATAAAAATCAGCGGGGCTGGTCACCGGGAGGTGTTCTGAATAGTAATAACTACCTCTTATTGAACCCCTACGGTGCATCAGCCCTTTAACAAATTCTCTGGAATCCAACCTCAGAAGCTGTGGTGAGAACTATATGAACTTTTTTTTTTTTTTTTTTTTTTTTGTAAATCAAGTTCCTAAGGGTTGTGCTGACACTGGTGAGGACAACATAAGTTGTCACTATCACCCACTGCCTAGGGATAAGATGATAAACAAGACTTGTATGGTTTCTGCCTTCATTGAGCTTACGGACAGAAATACACTCCCCAAAATGGTAGCCACTAGCTGCCACGTGTCTATTAAATTAATGTTTAGTTCCTCAGTCACACTAGCTTCATTTCATCATGTGTTCCATGGCCACAAGTGGATAGAGACCACCAACCCTGCTGAAAGCTCTGTTGACCAGCATGGAAAGAGGCAGAGGAAGCAGTAAGTAACATGTATCGATGCGGTGGGGGGGGGGGCAGAGACGGATGGGTGCCGGGGAACATGATATTACTACTACTATTCTTATTATAATCAAGATGTAGAAGCCAAGACTAAGTGAGGTCACACAATGAGACCAAGTTCACACACCCACCAAATGGGAGAACTGGGATTTGAACCCTGGCTTGTCCTTTTCACAAGCTGTTTGGGTTGTTTTATGAAGGGAGTGAATCAACCCACAGGTAGAAATTACTTAAAGAGGGAAGGCACCACTGGTGGGAAAGTGAAATTTTGGGCAAAGACGTAGATGAGCAAGGCTGGCAGAGGACCACGGGTAAACCAGTCTGGCTGGAGAGGCCGAGATTTGCTGAAATCATGTCCCAGGAGAGGTAAGTTGGAACCTGCCTGTCTTGACTAAAAGCCAAGGAACTAAGAAACTTAGCGCTACACGGGGTTGAGGCTGTATGGGATGTAAGCGGGAGCGTGGAGTGCCCAGAACCTTGCACTCGGAGAAAGCAGCAGTGCTTAGGCACAACTGGCCAAGAGCAAAGCTAGGGAGAGCAGCTAAGGATTACAAGGAGACAGAGAGCAATGAAGGCCTGAAGAAAGATCAGCACGGGGGCCTGCAGGTCTAAGGTTAAGGTTCAATACTTTGTATCACTGGCCAATTTCCTTGATTATCGAGGGTTTCTTTTCTGCAACTACAGGGCAGGCCCAGATGATCTCTGAGGATCCCCTTACAGTAGTTTAGGGGGTCTACAAATGTAAATGACTTTGGGGTTAGGGAAGCACTAGTTTATGTAGTGTCCAATACTGAGGCGGAGAAGATGGCCGTCAAGGACCATCCCAAGACGAAGAGAAACGTATTTTCCAGTAACAAAACAAGCTAAGTGTGTGCAGGAGCTGGCTTGTCTTTTATTCTGGGAGGATGATGAGCACGGGATACAGAGGAGGGAAGGAGAGTGAGAAAAAAATGGGCTTAAAAATAAAACAATGGGCTTGTTTTTAAAGAAAGTTGTAGAGTTGGAGGCCGTCGTTTTACATCCCCACCCCTCAAGACAGCTTTTAAACTGTTTTGACCTGTGATCCGCAGATGGGGATTAATATAGTTTACATCAGGTGTCCAGTATTTATTC